GTGGAGATTACATGTTAGCAATGCATATGGTGTTCAGCTTGTCTGGTCTTGTCAGCTGCTTCCATGCTGGTGAGAAATAAAATTAACACCAACGCCGGCTGCTTGTTATCTGGTAAATAATATAATATAATATAATATAATATAATATAATATAATATAATATAATATAATATAATATAATATAATAATGTGTGTTTGTGTTGATTTAAACTTTTTTAAAAGACCTGCTATTGAATAAAAAAATATATCCTTCATATATACATGCAAATCTTAAACTTTGTTGCTTTTTCAGTTATTTATTAAAAGTTTATCTATTTACCACAAAGGTTAAACCCAAATGCCTTGACTCTGTCTGTGTAAACAAAGCAGGTAACAGTACCCTATTTCTATGTAACCAACTTGTGAAATAGTTTGCATAGTTTCACTTAAATACTAATAGATTAGCTATGATCATTTCAAATTAACTTACTTAATTGCACACATTACTATTATTACTATTGTTATTGAAAAAATTATACTGCTCATCATCACAAGATCTCAGGGCAAGTCACAGAATAAAATGCAAGGTACAAACACAAGTAAATAGTTAAAATGAAAACAGCAAAACAATAACCCCCCTTTCCCACAAATCCATGTAAAAGGCTGTAGAATATTAATCAGCCAAAGGCCTGATTAATAAGGAACATTTTTATGTGGTGCCTAAAAATACACAGTGGTACCTCTAGTTACGAACGTAATTCGTTCGGGAGGTCCGTTCTTAACCTGAAACTGTTCTTAACTAGAGGCGTGCTTTTGCTAATGGGGCCTCTTGCTGCTGCTGTGCCGCCGGCACATGATTTTAGTTCTCATCCTGGGGCAAAGTTCTCAACTCGAGGTAAGTCTTCCAGGTTAGCGGAGTTTGTAAGCTGAAGCGTTTGTAACCTGAGGCGTTTGTAACTCGAGGTACCACTGTATAATGAAGGTGCCAAGCGACCCTCCCAGTGGAGAGCATTCCACAAATGGGGAGCCACTGCAGAAAAGCCCTGTTCTCGTGTTACCACCCTCCAGGCCTCATGTGGAGGAGGCACATGAAGAACGGCCTCAGATTTATGCAGAGTCTGGGATGGTTTATATAGGGAGAGGTGGGTCCTTGAGGTCCTTGCAGTAAATCCTCTGAGAATCACTAAGAATACTCTCAATAAAGTGTGCGCAGGAGTAGAATTGTCTGCTGCCAAGGTGCTCGGCCTTCGTTGGTACCCTGAACGTGACTCTTTAACTCCTTAAGCTTTGTTTACAGCTGTCTCACTCAGTATTGCACTCAGCACACACTTTGCTCCTTAAGCCCACATGTAGCTGTTGTGTGGCAGAAATCTTAGCTTCCTACCTCTGGTTACTTAACAAAAGCACCTTTTGTTTTGTAAATGCCTCCTTTCTCATCCAACATTTGGCCTTCCCCTTTTATTTAGGGAACCCCTCTCTAAGGAAACAGAACCTTTTAAGGCCCTTCATCCTGCCCAGACTCCCTGGTATTCAGTCTGCCTGTTCTCCGTGGGTCACTCCAGGACAGGTTACTCCAACTCTGGATAGCCTTTTCTTTCTACCTCCATGTAGCTCAGTATTGTCCATGCTGGCTGGCAGTGACTTGCCAGGATTTCCAAGAGGAAGCCTCTCCAAGCCAGAAGGGAGGGGAGAGGCAGCAGAGAATCTGGTGTGGTGCAAACAGAGCAGCAGATATCTGCTGTGCTTGCGCCGCGCTGACCTCACCACTTCACCCCTCCCAGTATGCACAGTGATGTGGCTGATGGGAGGCCAGCGGCATGGAAGATTCCAATGCCAGCCACTCACCTGTTAATATGTGCCAATTTTGCATTTATTTCTATGAATCAAAAAGCAACAGGAAGATCTTCTTGGGTGTGAAAGGGAATGGTGGAGAAGAAATGTCATCTCTTATATTTTTATTGAAATATATGAGCGCAAAGTTCTCAGTTACTGAATCCGAATCTTGCTGCCCCCTCCAACCAAAGCTGCTGTTATGAAGCTATCAGGGTTTTACACCAGCAGTAACATCCCTTTTCTGCTATCTTCAAGCTATGTGCAGAGCTTCATGTCTAAAGGTATTTATGAGTCGGTGGAGATGCCTGTACTTTGCAGCATATGCCCTTTACATCTGCGAATAACATTTTTAGACCTGTTGTCTTGGATAAATTTTGTGTCATGTTTAGAAACGTCTCTAAGAGAAAGGAGATGTAAATGTATTGAAATAAGCAAATGACAGAGGAGAATAACATTTCAAATTAATGTTTCTGGTGTACATGGCATAATAGAATCGTAACGAAAGAGCATGGCCAAGCTCTCACTTCTAATTGCATGTTTTCAGTTGATTCTTTTTGGTTGTCTTGTCCCCATCGTTTTAAGAGTACAGCATACTGGATGTAAAATGTGCAGTGGCTCTAGTATTCCACAGGGTGTCATGAGGTAGTTGTTAGAACCGCTATTAGCACAGAAAGGAAATGAACATGGTCTACCCTCTTCTGAACACTAACAAGTGTTCTGTTTCTAGATTCAGGTAGGTAGCTGTGTTGGTCTGACACAGACAGAAAAAAATATATTAAAAAATTTTCCAGTAGCACTTTAGAGACCAACTAGGTTTGTTCTGGGTACCCAGAACAAAGTTAGTTGGTCTCTAAGGTGCTACTGGACAATTTATTCCTTTTTTAATTTAAGCGTTCTATTTGGCAGTGTACTGTGCACTATAAAACAACTGGTTCTTAGCTCTTTAGCATGTATTCTCTTTTTTTCTGCATAATATAAACACGCATAAATGAAAGCATTACTGTGGACAGATCCTTTCCCAGGGCAGAGCCTTGCACCTTCTCACACAATATGCACAGGTTTAGTCTGTTCCCCTCTATAACCCAGGGTAGCAGTGGCCCCTGAAACTTGCTTTATCTGTTTGCTTAGCTTTTAAAAGGCACTTGGTCAAAGATAGGATGTTACTTTAGCTGCTGCAGCACAAGTTTCTCCTTGCATAACTGTATACAGAGCACTGCCATATGCCAACCGAGACTGATGCCTTACAGCACAATTCTGTTGGCCACGTGGCAAGCTCCATTTGTTTTAGTAATGCTTAAGCGTTGCCTAACTGCAAGCTACCCCACTTGAATAACTGGGGTCATGTTGGAAAGGGATAAGGTGAGGAGAGTTCAGGAAATATATTCACTCAAAGCCAGTCAGTGATACCCACGGTGAAAAGGAATGCTAATTATTTCCATTGCTCTCAAGTTGCACAATATAAAGAGGGCATGATTTGTTTGAGATATGCCATTTCATACTTACTTGACCTGATTCATGCCAAAGATTCTTTCCTCTTAAGAGCCTGCTGTTGAGTGTTGATTACAGAGGACCAAATCATACGCTGGCTTTGCACTAGCGGCATCCTTAGGTCAGCTGTCATCTCCATTTCATTTTCTGTGATTGTTACAATGATAGAGGAAGCAGCAGCTGAAGGCTTGCCCTCTACCTAATTAACATGCTGCAAAGGGTTAGCAGAAACACCCTCCTGAAAGGTATCAATCACTCATCTTAAGCACTTGCATTTCCCTTCCGTGCAACGATGCAACAGCTCTGCGCTGAATGAGTTGCAGTGCTGTGTTAGATGTTTGTTGCTGCAACAAATCATATTTTAAACTCCCATTACTGAAATGAAAATCCTATTTGGGTCTTCTCTTGAAGACAGTACCAAGGCATGATGCAGAATGCAGATCTCCCCTATTTGAATTGGGTGGAAGGTCTGCACAATAAGGATATTTAAAAGTATGTTATCAGCAGCAGCAGCAGCTTCATAGTTAAATAGTGATTAAATATTTAAATAAATTAAGCTAACAAGCTTTCTTTCAAGGTGATCTAGCAAAGTCAGATCCTACTTCAAAACAGCTTTTCAGCAAGGGGGAAAGGTAAAAAAAAAAAGTGGCTTAAATGTAAGTTTACGTAGGCCAGCTCCACATGACTGTTCTGATCCTATACTGCATGCAGAGGCAAACTCTGGCCCTCCAGATGTTTGGGACTACAGTTCCCATCATCCCTGACCACTGGTCCTGTTAGCTAGGTATGATGGGAATTGTAGTCCCCGAACATCTGGAGGGCTGGAGTTTGCCTATGCCTGCTATACTGAGTCAAGCCCAGACCCACCACACTTTAGGCCTGGTTTAACGTGGGCTTGTCTCCCCCCCCCCGCTTTATCACTATCAACTTCCCTTTCCCTACCCAAAGATACTCACAGGAAACAATGGCTTATGTTGATGCTCCGGTTAGTTCCTAGATACGTAATTGCTACAAATATGACATATGCGGTACCATCTAGCTCCCCTGGAACCATGGAAAAGCTAGTTCTCATTGTACCCTTGATTCCTGGGTGCTCCTGTATGCTGCCAAACACCCTTGTAGCAGCATCTAGTGCCTAACAGAAGTTCTGTCATGAACCATCCTACTCCCCTTTAGGGAAGTTTTGGTAGGAAAAAGAGGATATAGGAACCTCTGCATCCTAAAGTAAATGTATGTTATTAGGAGCATGCTAACCAGTCCTTTTTTTCTAGAAAAATAGGTGCCGGTAATCACCATAAAGTTGTTACAGTAAGCGCCACACTTTTTAACAACAGCAAAAAAGAGGTGCTAGGACTGTGTAGCCTCCCTGAAAAAAAAGCGCTGATGCTAATGCTTAAACAAATCTAAAACAAATCAGTTTTAAGCATACGTTGGAAACTCGCATTAAGGATTGAACTAAGTGAGGTTGCCTTCCACTGAGATCTTTCTGTTTTGTTGGCTGTTGGAGATTCACAGAGGTTAAAATCAGAACTGAATGATTTCAGACTATGAATATTTCAGTAATGTGTTTGCTGTATTTTAAACCTCCCCCCCACACAACAAGTGTTCATGAATTGCCTACTTTTGCCAACAGAGCTTGCCATTCTAAAGCCTCCTTTTCATAATCAGTACTGAGTAATCTTGCATTCTTTGTTTTAAAGATTGAAAATCTTCAGGAGCAACTTAGGGATAAAGACAAACAGCTAACCAATTTGAAAGACAGAGTGAAGTCGTTGCAGACTGATTCCAGTAACACAGACACGGCTCTAGCAACATTGGAAGAAGCTCTATCAGAGAAGGTATGGTTCTTAAGCTTTGTTTACAGCTGTCTACTCAGTATTGCACTCAGCACACACTTTGCTCCTTAAGCCCACATGTAGCTGTGTGTGGCAGAAATCTTAGCTTCCTACCTCTGGTTACTTAACAAAAGCACCTTTTGTTTTGTAAATGCTCCTTTCTCATCCAACATTTGGCCTTCCCCTTTTATTTAGGGACCCCCTCTCTAAGGAAACAGACCTTTTAAGGCCCTTCATCCTGCCCAGACTCCCTGGTATTCAGTCTGCCTGTTCTCCGTGGGTCACTCCAGGACAGGTTACTCCAACTCTGGATAGCCTTTTTTCTACCTCCATGTAGCTCAGTATTGTCCATGCTGGCTGGCAGTGCTTGCCAGGATTTCCAAGAGGAAGCCTCTCCAAGCCAGAAGGGAGGGGAGAGGCAGCAGAGAATCTGGTGTGGTGCAAACAGAGCAGCAGATATCTGCTGTGCTTGCGCCGCGCTGACCTCACCACTTCACCCCTCCCAGTATGCACAGTGATGTGGCTGATGGGAGGCCAGCGGCATGGAAGATTCCAATGCCAGCCACTCACCTGTTAATATGTGCCAATTTTGCATTTATTTTCTATGAATCAAAAAGCAACAGGAAGATCTTCTTGGGTGGAAAGGGAATGGTGGAGAAGAAATGTCATCTCTTATATTTTTATTGAAATATATGAGCGCAAAGTTCTCAGTTACTGAATCCGAATCTTGCTGCCCCCTCCAACCAAAGCTGCTGTTATGAAGCTATCAGGGTTTTACACCAGCAGTAACATCCCTTTTCTGCTATCTTCAAGCTATGTGCAGAGCTTCATGTCTAAAGGTATTTATGAGTCGGTGGAGATGCCTGTACTTTGCAGCATATGCCCTTTACATCTGCGAATAACATTTTTAGACCTGTTGTCTTGGATAAATTTTGTGTCATGTTTAGAAACGTCTCTAAGAGAAAGGAGATGTAAATGTATTGAAATAAGCAAATGACAGAGGAGAATAACATTTCAAATTAATGTTTCTGGTGTACATGGCATAATAGAATCGTAACGAAAGAGCATGGCCAAGCCTCTCACTTCTAATTGCATGTTTTCAGTTGATTCTTTTTGGTTGTCTTGTCCCCATCGTTTTAAGAGTACAGCATACTGGATGTAAAATGTGCAGTGGCTCTAGTATTCCACAGGGTGTCATGAGGTAGTTGTTAGAACCGCTATTAGCACAGAAAGGAAATGAACATGGTCTACCCTCTTCTGAACACTAACAAGTGTTCTGTTTCTAGATTCAGGTAGGTAGCTGTGTTGGTCTGACACAGACAGAAAAAAATATATTAAAAATTTTTCCAGTAGCACTTTAGAGACCAACTAGGTTTGTTCTGGGTACCGCAGTGGTGATTCCTGGGTATTGTTGGGTTGCTGAGCTGATCAGGCTTTGTTGGTTGGTGGCTTCTACAGAGCGTTTGCGTTAGGTGGTCATTTGTGTCACTTCTAGTCTGTGTTTTAAGAACTTCTTTAGGGCTTCTGTAGATGCCTCAGCGGTGCCGCCGAGGCGGGGGGGGCAGGTAAGCAGAGATGGGTAGACTGACGGGCAGACAGTTCATATAAAGGGAGGGGGGTTAGCAGGTAGAGATGCAAGAGATTGGAGGGGTGGGGCCAGGGGAGGTATGTGTTAGGAGGGGGTTGTATATGCCCAAAAGGGGTATTGGGGTCCAGTTGAGGTGGAAGTTGGGGGTTGGGAGTGCGCTCAGAAACAGAGACAGACAAGTAGGCTATATGTAAAGGGTGGAGGGAGAAGAAAGGGAAGAAGAAGAAAGAAAGAAAAAGGGGGGAGGCGGGGGGGGGAGGGGAGATTGGAGTGAAAGAGAAGGGAGAGATAGTACAGTAATATCAGCGGTAAAGATTCAAATAGAGGGTGGCTGCAGTAGCAGTGGACCCTCTTTTATAAGGAAAAGAGATAAAAGTAGGTATATGGGGGGAGGGATAAAAAGGTATATATATATATTAAGGGGGAGGGGGGAGGAAGGGGTTAAAAAAAAGGAAGGGGGTTAAAAAAAAAAAAAAGGGAAGGGGAAAAAAAAGGTAGTTTCTACTTTGTTATGCTGCTTCTTTGTGTTTCCCGGTGGGGCTCAGCCACGTGTTGTTGTTTTTTCGGAGCCTTTTTTGCCTTCCCGTGCTCACCTACCTCTCCCCTGCTTTTTTAAGGGGGGAGGGAGGGGGAGAAGGGGTTTAAAAAAGGAAGGGGGTTAAAAAAAAAAAAAAGGGGGGGGGAGGGGAAAAAAAGCTAGTTTCTCCTTTGTTATGCTGCTTCTTTGTGTTTCCCGGTGGGGCTCAGCCACGTGTTGTTTTTTTTCGGAGCCTTTTTTGCCTTCCCGTGCTCACGTACCTCTCCTCTGCTTTCTCCTCGGCAGAGATGGGGGCGGCAGCGGTAAGTTTGGGGCTCCTTTTTCTTTCTTTTTCTTCCTCTCTCCCCCTTTCTTTCTCCCTCTTTGTGTTGGCTCCACTGTCCTCCTGGTTTTGGAGCTCCTCTCTGCTGTTGGGGGGGTGGTCGGGTGCCTTTCCGGCTCAATCTCAGTCGTGGGGGGGGGGTGTTTTGGCTCCTTTGATAGATGCCTGGGCACCCCGATTCCTCTCCGCTGTTGGTGCTGGCGGCAGCAGACTTGGGAGCCCTGGGGTGGCCAGACAGAGCCTTTTACTCTGGCTGGCTTCAGGAGCTCTTTTCTGCTGTTGCAGCCGCCATGCTGCCTCGCCGGAAGTCTTCTAATATAATATAATATAATATAATATAATATAATATAATATAATATAATATAATATAATAATGTGTGTTTGTGTTGATTTAAACTTTTTTAAAAGACCTGCTATTGAATAAAAAAATATATCCTTCATATATACATGCAAATCTTAAACTTTGTTGCTTTTTCAGTTATTTATTAAAAGTTTATCTATTTACCACAAAGGTTAAACCCAAATGCCTTGACTCTGTCTGTGTAAACAAAGCAGGTAACAGTACCCTATTTCTATGTAACCAACTTGTGAAATAGTTTGCATAGTTTCACTTAAATACTAATAGATTAGCTATGATCATTTCAAATTAACTTACTTAATTGCACACATTACTATTATTACTATTGTTATTGAAAAAATTATACTGCTCATCATCACAAGATCTCAGGGCAAGTCACAGAATAAAATGCAAGGTACAAACACAAGTAAATAGTTAAAATGAAAACAGCAAAACAATAACCCCCCTTTCCCACAAATCCATGTAAAAGGCTGTAGAATATTAATCAGCCAAAGGCCTGATTAATAAGGAACATTTTTATGTGGTGCCTAAAAATACACAGTGGTACCTCTAGTTACGAACGTAATTCGTTCGGGAGGTCCGTTCTTAACCTGAAACTGTTCTTAACTAGAGGCGTGCTTTTGCTAATGGGGCCTCTTGCTGCTGCTGTGCCGCCGGCACATGATTTTAGTTCTCATCCTGGGGCAAAGTTCTCAACTCGAGGTAAGTCTTCCAGGTTAGCGGAGTTTGTAAGCTGAAGCGTTTGTAACCTGAGGCGTTTGTAACTCGAGGTACCACTGTATAATGAAGGTGCCAAGCGACCCTCCCAGTGGAGAGCATTCCACAAATGGGGAGCCACTGCAGAAAAGCCCTGTTCTCGTGTTACCACCCTCCAGGCCTCATGTGGAGGAGGCACATGAAGAACGGCCTCAGATTTATGCAGAGTCTAGGATGGTTTATATAGGGAGAGGTGGGTCCTTGAGGTCCTTGCAGTAAATCCTCTGAGAATCACTAAGAATACTCTCAATAAAGTGTGCGCAGGAGTAGAATTGTCTGCTGCCAAGGTGCTCGGCCTTCGTTGGTACCCTGAACGTGACTCTTTAACTCCTTAAGCTTTGTTTACAGCTGTCTTACTCAGTATTGCACTCAGCACACACTTTGCTCCTTAAGCCCACATGTAGCTGCTGTGTGGCAGAAATCTTAGCTTCCTACCTCTGGTTACTTAACAAAAGCACCTTTTGTTTTGTAAATGCCTCCTTTCTCATCCAACATTTGGCCTTCCCCTTTTATTTAGGGAACCCCTCTCTAAGGAAACAGAACCTTTTAAGGCCCTTCATCCTGCCCAGACTCCCTGGTATTCAGTCTGCCTGTTCTCCGTGGGTCACTCCAGGACAGGTTACTCCAACTCTGGATAGCCTTTTCTTTCTACCTCCATGTAGCTCAGTATTGTCCATGCTGGCTGGCAGTGGCTTGCCAGGATTTCCAAGAGGAAGCCTCTCCAAGCCAGAAGGGAGGGGAGAGGCAGCAGAGAATCTGGTGTGGTGCAAACAGAGCAGCAGATATCTGCTGTGCTTGCGCCGCGCTGACCTCACCACTTCACCCCTCCCAGTATGCACAGTGATGTGGCTGATGGGAGGCCAGCGGCATGGAAGATTCCAATGCCAGCCACTCACCTGTTAATATGTGCCAATTTTGCATTTATTTCTATGAATCAAAAAGCAACAGGAAGATCTTCTTGGGTGTGAAAGGGAATGGTGGAGAAGAAATGTCATCTCTTATATTTTTATTGAAATATATGAGCGCAAAGTTCTCAGTTACTGAATCCGAATCTTGCTGCCCCCTCCAACCAAAGCTGCTGTTATGAAGCTATCAGGGTTTTACACCAGCAGTAACATCCCTTTTCTGCTATCTTCAAGCTATGTGCAGAGCTTCATGTCTAAAGGTATTTATGAGTCGGTGGAGATGCCTGTACTTTGCAGCATATGCCCTTTACATCTGCGAATAACATTTTTAGACCTGTTGTCTTGGATAAATTTTGTGTCATGTTTAGAAACGTCTCTAAGAGAAAGGAGATGTAAATGTATTGAAATAAGCAAATGACAGAGGAGAATAACATTTCAAATTAATGTTTCTGGTGTACATGGCATAATAGAATCGTAACGAAAGAGCATGGCCAAGCTCTCACTTCTAATTGCATGTTTTCAGTTGATTCTTTTTG